CATAGAATAATAGAAGAGACACTTTCAGTTTTTGACATTTTTTTAAAATTTTTCAAGAAATACTTAGAGAAATATTTTGCAACTTTAAAGATGTTTAGTTGATGCAATTTTTCATACTTAACAATAAAATTTAAAGCTTCCAGACCTAATTACGAAAATTAAGAATAAATTACTCGGAAGATTCGAGAATGTATAACAATTTTTTTTTATAACCGTCGTTGAACAGCCGACCCAATTTTGGGTTTATGACTGCTAATGTTCAACTCCGTAGCCTTGTAATTTTGAACCCTATCCAGAAGACAAAAGAAATCCTGGATCAAGGGTTGGGAGAAATTAGCTTTCCTTGGAGACTTTTTGATGGAACTAATCAGCATTTGCGTTACACGGAGGGGAAGACCACGAGAAACTCCCACGGTTAGCCTGACGGCAAGGGTACTCTAACCCATGATCCGTCTACCACTGAGGATATTTCACGTCAGCACTGTGATCGGTGCAATCCGGATGCGGAATTCGTATCGACTGGGATTCGAACCCGGTTCGCCTCATTGGAAGGCGAACGCTCTATCGCCCTAGCCATCACGGATCTGGATCAAGTAGTGGAAGAAATGTTGCCTTCGTGGAAGACTCTTTAATGGAACTAACCCACATTTGCGTTACATGGAGAGGAAAACATCTCACAGTTAGCCCGATGGCAAGGGAACTCTAACCCATACTCCGTCTGGGACTGCGTATATTTTACATTAGCACTGTTGTCGGTGCCATATCGACCAGTCTTCGAACCCGGTTCACCTCAGGGTTAAAGAGTGAATCGAATGTCCAGCTCACTTCTTTGAAAAGACTCATGTCGCTCCGAAATTCAGGATTCAGTCAATGACGTCAGCATCAACTTCTCGCTTTAAAAATGAATTGTTTCGCTTTTCTTTTTTGAAAAAACTATTTCCATGCATTCATTGTTTTCACTTTTTATTTTGATGTAATTTTCTTCTCATCTGATAGCAAAAAATTTAACAATAGTAGTCAAATATCAGCTTGCTTGATAGCGACCGCCCAAGAATTATTTGAAAACACAAAATGAGAAAAAGTCATTTTTCAAGTTTTATTTCAGAAAATGCAAAGGTGACAGCAAAGGAATTATAAAGTGTACTACAAGAATTTATCCTGCTGTGAATAAAGAAAGAATTATGCTTTATGTTTCCCGTTTAGTCGTGTAAGAACTTTTATTAGAATTTCCCCCCATTGAAATCGATATCGTCTCGTAACTTTAAACAGAAAAAAAGAAAGAAAAAACGCACGAAGTCAAAGAAAATAAAATCCGGAACTTCAAAAATAGAAGTTATTAATGCTTAAAAATTCTTTCACTTTCATAATATATCTTTTATTGTCATTATTCAAAATATTTATAATTTATTGTCATTATTAAATATTTATATGTTTTAATTATAATGCCTTAATTTTAAATATTTATGAGCAAGTGTAATATTTCCACTATTATATTCCCGAAGATTATTTTTGCTAGTAATTGACTTTTAAGGTTTTAGGTTCCTTTCCTAGAGATAATGTTTAAAAAAATTTGCNCGAACAATATGTAACAGACAGACAGACATCGCAAATAATAAACTATTGTTATCGAACAATATGTAACAGACAGACAGACATCGCAAATAATAAACTATTGTTATCGAACAATATGTAACAGACAGACAGACATCGCAAATAATAAACTATTGTTATCGAACAATATGTAACAGACAGACAGACATCGCAAATAATAAACTATTGTTATCGAACAATATGTAACAGACAGACAGACATCGCAAATAATAAACTATTGTTATCGAACAATATGTAACAGACAGACAGACATCGCAAATAATAAACTATTGTTATCGAACAATATGTAACAGACAGACAGACATCGCAAATAATAAACTATTGTTATCGAACAATATGTAACAGACAGACAGACATCGCAAATAATAAACTATTGTTATCGAACAATATGTAACAGACAGACAGACATCGCAAATAATAAACTATTGTTATCGAACAATATGTAACAGACAGACAGACATCGCAAATAATAAACTATTGTTATCGAACAATATGTAACAGACAGACAGACATCGCAAATAATAAACTATTGTTATCGAACAATATGTAACAGACAGACAGACATCGCAAATAATAAACTATTGTTATCGAACAATATGTAACAGACAGACAGACATCGCAAATAATAAACTATTGTTATCGAACAATATGTAACAGACAGACAGACATCGCAAATAATAAACTATTGTTATCGAACAATATGTAACAGACAGACAGACATCGCAAATAATAAACTATTGTTATCGAACAATATGTAACAGACAGACAGACATCGCAAATAATAAACTATTGTTATCGAACAATATGTAACAGACAGACAGACATCGCAAATAATAAACTATTGTTATCGAACAATATGTAACAGACAGACAGACATCGCAAATAATAAACTATTGTTATCGAACAATATGTAACAGACAGACAGACATCGCAAATAATAAACTATTGTTATCGAACAATATGTAACAGACAGACAGACATCGCAAATAATAAACTATTGTTATCGAACAATATGTAACAGACAGACAGACATCGCAAATAATAAACTATTGTTATCGAACAATATGTAACAGACAGACAGACATCGCAAATAATAAACTATTGTTATCGAACAATATGTAACAGACAGACAGACATCGCAAATAATAAACTATTGTTATCGAACAATATGTAACAGACAGACAGACATCGCAAATAATAAACTATTGTTATCGAACAATATGTAACAGACAGACAGACAGACATCGCAAATAATAAACTATTGCTATCGAACAATATGTAACTATAAAGGTGTCCTGATATACATTCTTTTATTTAACAGTAAAAGTTAAAAACTAAAATTAAACGATAATGAAACAATGACGACAACCATTGAGAAATTTTTCTCTAACTTTAAAGAGTTATTTTTAATACTAAGGAATACCAAGAAAATGCATGAATACTATATTTTTGAGCAGAAATAATTTCTTAGAAGTGTAATGTTTGACAGCTTTTATCAGAAAAGTGCCGAACGTTCAACTTATTTCTTATAGAAAGTATAAACAATAAAGTTTTCATATTCTTTAGTTGTGACTTTCGAGATCGATGTCCGGCGTGTAGTCATGAGGTGAGAAATTGTAACTTCAGCTTTGAGAAAGGACTGACCCAACCCTTCTCTATCTTCTCTTTGGCCCCAGGGTTCACCTCATTGGAAGGCTCTAAAGAATTCATTAAGCAAATTAATTCTTTTTGTAGAATCTGATAAAATTATTAGCCACTAGATGGCGTCTTACAATGAAAATGTAATTCAGAGCCACTAGATAGCGTCTTACAATGAAAATGTAATTCAGATTGACTTAAGAACTCGATGAAGGCAGTTGTAAATCTAATGTTCCAAAATTAAATTTTGTTATTGTTTGAAACGAGAGAACATCCTGGAATTTACAGGCTCTATCCCATTAGCAGTCGCAGCTTGGAATATAATATTCTGCGTTACAAGATTGAAAACACGAAAACAAGGTGCATTCGGCAAAACACGGACCTAGAATTTGTCTGAAATTCCTTTGATGCAGTGTAACAGAACACTCGTGTGCTTTACTATTAGTGCGGTACTACGAGCGGCCTACCTATTCTGTGCTTTAATTTTATCATTTCTGTACACAACTTTTTATATTTTATTTAAAATGTAATTCTGTATTTTTACCAGAGTCAAACATAACAAACGTTATTTAAATGTTGTTGTGTCGTTAGAATTACTAGTATCCGCATAATTTCAAAATAAAATTGAAAACGTTAAATTGACCCGATTTTAACTAATAAAACTATTTTTTGAAATGTCGACACATTCACTAAGTGCCAATTCAGCGGAAAAGATATACTTTAGCTTAGGGGTACACAACCTTTTTGAGTGAAGGGCCACATGCACAGCAGATTGACCATAGAAGGGCCGCATGCCAAAGTATTTAGACAGACATGTTGACAGTAATTGCAGATGGTTATTGTTATATAGACATCAATGTTCTAAGCACTAAATTTTTTTTGTCAGTTAACCTTATAATATGTTTGAATAAAATTAAATACTTTTAAATGTTAAAAAATTAGAAACTGCAAAAATGATTACTTAGGAGAAAAAAACAAAATCAGAAACTCTGAATCAGTTCATCAGAAGAAAAAAATTTGATGAATTGAAATAATTAAAAACTATGGGAAAATTCATGTTTTTTTATCATATTACGTAATAAAGTCCATTTCAACATTAAAAAATTTGTTCATGGAATTAAATTTAAAAAAATTAATAGTCTAGTTATTAAAAAAATGCACCATAAATACTTTGATTTAAAGAAAGTTTATGATTTTAAAAATGATTAGAATTTAAGCAAGACCTCTTGAGCTGAAAATAAGATTCAACATTTAGTAAGGAAAATACTTTAACTTAAAACATTTTTTTTTAATTAATTATAAGATGCAGGGGCTGAGAGAGGGTAGAAAAAGAAAGAAAGAAAGAAAACACTAATTTTGAAGGAACTAGTTTCCTTAATTAAAAAGATACTTGTTTCCAACTCTTAATGACCAATACTTTTTTAACATGACACTTACTATTTACAATTAATAAATTTATATATTAACAATTAATTAAAATTTACAATACTTTACGAAAGTTATCTTGATTACATTTTTTACACAAAATTTTCCTTTCATTATTATAGATACATAAGAATTCAAACTTAGAAGGGAGTAATTAGATCTGATTTGCAGGTTGCGACCCCTATCTTATTCTGAAATAGTAAAAGGAACTATTTTACTTGAAGAAAAAGTGCTTAAATAAAAGATTTAGCTGTTTTCATAGTTGTCATATTATTGTATACTTTGCTGTCATGTTTTGTGACAAATTATTTCTATTTGTGTTTCAGGTGTCTTTAAAAGATATGATGGCAGAAAATGACGCCTCCAGTGCAAAGCACGTTTCTTATAAGTCAAGGAGAAAGTCTATCATGGATGGAATATACCACTATGTGAGCTTTTGAATCCGGAAAGTATTTTGAATGGCACAAAATTATGCATTCCCGAGAATAATTGTTGAAAAGAACATTCGTTATTCCAAGAATTGAAAAAACAAATTTTAACGAAAATATGTTTTTATAGCCCTGTTGAACGTTTGTAACTCATAACATTGTGGAACACGAAACATGTTTATGAATGAAACAGCTGTAATACTATCAAATCACTTGCTTCAAAATTTCACGATCAACGATTCTTTCTTTGGAGTCGTCGATTACCACACGGATTTAGAAGAAGAATCGCCGATCTTACGTTCGACGGACACAACAACAACCCTTTCTTCCAGACCGGTTTGGAACACACGCTTAGAAGAAACATCGGAATATGAATCGACGTTTCACAACAACGTACTCGCGATCATTTTAGCATTTTTCTGCCTGGCGACAATCTTCGGTAACATTCTTGTGATGGTGGCAGTGGCAAGAGAGCCCTACCTCCACACGGTTACCAATTACTTCATAGCGTCTCTTGCCACGGCCGACTGCATTGTCGGTGCCGTTGTGATGCCGTTTTGTGTCGTCTTAGAAATCAGAGACGGCTACTGGCCGTTTGGACAGGACTGGTGCGATGTATGGCGATCCATAGATGTCTTAGCCAGTACTGCTTCGATATTGAATCTCTGTGTTATCTCGCTGGATAGATACTGGGCAATCACAGACTCCATGTCTTATCCAAGAAAAATGAGCCCAACGAGGGCGGCTCTATTGATTGTCCTTGTATGGGTATGTTCCTCCCTCATTTCCTTTCCAGCAATCGCTTGGTGGAGGGCCGTGTCAGCAGAATCTCCGCCAGAACACCAGTGTCTCTTCACGGAGGACGTTGGCTATCTAGTCTTTTCTTCGGCTGTCTCCTTCTACGTTCCATTAACTGTCATGCTCATCACGTATTACAGAATTTACAGAGCAGCCATGGAACAGAAAAGGAGCTTGAAACTCGGAACGAAGCAAATTCACTCAAACGGTGAATGCGCTTCGTTGACGCTGCGAATTCACAGAGGGGGTATTTACTCGCCGAAGTACGAAACGAACTTGACGAGTGGAACGTCGCTCCCGTCCCGACACATAAAAACATTCTCATTGAGCAGGAAAATCAGCAAACTCGCCAAAGAAAGGAAAGCTGCCAAGACGCTCGGCATTGTGATGGGTGTTTTCATTTTATGTTGGCTTCCATTTTTCGTTACAAATGTCTTAATGGGCATTTGTGGCGACAGTTGTGTGATGAACTCAAAACTTGTCTTCTCCGTCGTGACGTGGTTGGGGTGGACAAACTCTGGAATGAACCCCGTGATATACGCGTGTTGGAGCAGGGAGTTTAGAAGGGCATTTACCAAACTTTTGTGTTCCTGCTGTCCTAGGTACATGAGGCGAAAACGCAGATTTCGCCAAGTTGTTCGAGATGAAGTTTCTTTGCCACATTTCAATTTGCCATCAAACCCAGTTGACGATGTATCCCTGTGAAATATTTTATTAAACTTTTTCTTGCTTACATGACATATTAAATGTTTCTATGAGAATCTCATTCTTTTGGTTCATTGCGTTAATAAGACGACATCTAAGCAACTATCCTGTGAATCTGTGAGGGTTCAGTCGAAAATAAACGACTCTTAAAGTTTTAGATTATTTATAGTTTAAAACAGCGTTAAATATGATTTCATAATTCGAGTGATTACAAGAATACTGAAAGAAATCAGGTGGAAAATATTTTTGCCGTTGCATTTTGCTACATCAAAAGAAATGCTACGACTTTTCAATGCGCAAGTGTTGTAAAATACAAGGTAGTCATAGAAAACTTCTATTATTCAAGAATTTTGGCTGCTTTTTCTCTCGACAAATCGAAATAAATTTCATGTCGTATTGTTTGAAGATATGCGATCAAGGCGATTCAGAACAGTTAAGCTTTCACTGTAACAGTTAACCGCGAGCAATTTTTTTAAATTTTAAAGAAGAATATTGTTGTAGTTACCAAAAGAACTTTTTATTCTTAACTACCAAATTAATAACATAAATGTATCACAGGAAAAATATTGCGAAACAAAACACAAATAAAATTTTAATGTTTAATTTAACGAAAAAATCTCACCTCGTGAGAAAAAACACAAGAAAATTCAACTAAAAAGAAAAAAAAGAATGTTCTAATAATTCTTTTAAAAAACAAAGAGAAAACGTGAACCACCGATACAATATGTCCTTTTTTAATTTCATGCGTTTTGCCAACCTGGTTAAATATGACTNTCTCACCTTGTGAGAAAAAACACAAGAAAATTCAACTAAAAAGAAAAAAAAGAATGTTCTAATAATTCTTTTAAAAAACAAAGAGAAAACGTGAACCACCAATACAGTATGTCCTTTTTTAATTTCATGCTTTTTGTCAACCTGGTTAAATATGACTCGTCAATCTTCAACAGCAATTTAAATTCTGTTCTTTGAAAATAATCGTCTGCTACTATGTCTTTGAATATAATCGTCTGCTACTATGTCAATCTTCAACAAATATCTTAAAGGACAAAACAAGAAAGGTTATTTTTGTTGGAATTTTAAGACAAAGCATTTCATATGGGGCATTGTGAATAATAACTGGCAGAATCTACATATAACATTACAATTATATTTCGCCTCTCTAATTTTTGAAATAACGTATTTCTTCGCTTATTTTATTCCAAACTCCTACGATAAAAAAAGTAAGTACCGAGAACGAATATTCTACGAGGACTAGGATATATTCAAAGACAATAGTGAGTGCCACAAAATAGGTATTTTTGCTTGCCCCAGCTCTAAGATTTGCTAATTGAGTAAAGTTTCTTTATGTATCATATCTTACGACACATTCGTCTCCATATTTTTCCACCCATTTAAAACCTTAAGTGGGATGCGTGTAATTTTTAGCCTTTACACATAGTTGCCAAGAACAACAGTTTTAACAAGAACAGCTTATTTAAATTATTTCTCGTACAGGTTTATAGGATCACGAGCTTCCTCTTAGCTTTCGATTACTGTTTCTGAAACCAAGTTCGGTTAAAACAGTTCACTTTCTCTGTAAGCTGTTGGCAACTTCAAGCGAGCACCTGATTCATTGTCTTGCACTGCATATAAAGGGAATTTCAACGAGCGACGCTGCGAGTTAATTATGAAAAATGAGCTTACTTTTTTCTTTTTAAATGCGTCCTACGTGTTAAAGGGATAGAGAAGATGTTGCCAATCAAAAACTTTGAAATTTGGTCACTTTAACTGTGTGGCTGCTCTGTTGTTATGATTCAGCACGATCTCAAGAGCATACTTTCAAAGAACATCATATGAAATGGTCAGCTGAATTTATTTATGACTACCCTGTGTACCCATCAGTCGCTAGATGTATAATGCATAGTTTTAATACATTGGGGTAAAACCGGGTAGCTAAGATTCGAAGGCGTGTTGGAGCAAAACTGTTAGACTTAGAAACTATCAAATTTGACCGAAATATTCATTGGTTAGTGGTACACAATATTTCAACAGTTACTAATGTGCTGCTTTTGTTATAAACTTCTTTTTTTTAATAAAATTCAAATCACCTAATCGGGTACATAAGCTACTTCTATGGAAAATTATAAATTCTAAAATTTCATTACAAAGTAGCAGACATTTCTATTAGGCAATTGACATATAAGAGAATTTAAGAAACTTATGCACGTAATTTACATTTGATGCAGTCAAGGCTGTACTCACAGTGGGGAGAGAGACTGACAATTGTCCTGGGACTACAGGGCTCCAGCAAAATTCCTCACAGAAATATTTTGCTTAATACCTATTGGCAAAATGGGTGTTGTTTTGGGTTTGATGCCGTGTGCACCTTATTTGGACGTCATCACACTTTTCGACTGTGTTCAAGAGTAATAGTAAAGAGTGCATTGCATGCGTTGCTATGGCGACAGCTGCTGTTTGATAATTTTTCTAGAATTTTTTTTTTTTTTTCATTTTAAATTTTGTTATGCATTAAGTTGGTGAGTTTTTTTTTTTTTTTTGAGATATGGGGTCAGAGAGATCCTATAAATACTTCTTGAGTTGTGAATAAAAGAGAATTTCATCATTTGAACGATATTTTTGTTTTTATTGTTTTAGTTAAGAATCATAAATTCTAACCTACTGTTCAAACTGGATCGTTTTCAATGCTAATTCTGGTGAATATCACAAATAAAGAGGGTCCCAAAGGTTAGAGTTGAAGCAAGAAAAAAAAAAGATGCCAAGGCCTAAACTTACCGATGATGAAAAAGCTAAACGTAGAACGCAGACGGCAGGAAAATTAGACTACAACCATTTTGCCAATGGGTAACCTGTGATCAAAAAAATTTTCAATTTTTCATGAAAATTTGTAGATAATATCTTTATATCTACATAAAAACTACGATTTTTGATGAATTCTCTTCAAAAATTCCGCAAAATATGAAATAAGGGTCCGCAATAAATTTTGTCCTGGAACCGTAAAACCTTCTTCTGCCTTGAAAATAGTTATCTCCTTCCTCCACAGCACTACAGCTTTTGTGGGGCCAGCATGGACGTCAGTGGAGTACCCTGTCTGATCACGAGGTGAGAGGTTATCGAAACAGAACAGTGTTTAACTATTGGTTTACTTAGATTAACAGTTGAACTAAATTCTAATTGTATGAGTATGAATTTTTAGCAACTGAAGATTCATTTCATTAGCAATAAGCAAATGGACTAAAAATATTGTTTTTATTACTGTAATCACCAATAAATAAGGATAGCTTAAAAACATTCGAGAATTGACATAAAGCAAACTAACTTATCGACACAGATACCTGGAATTAATCAACACACCAATAAGGTATGTTCTTTTTTAAATCAGCTAGAAAGCAGAACTTACTTCCACACAATCGATGTATAGTTTGTCTGCAGAAAGAACTCCCCTCTCCACGAAGTCTAAAGCCGTCTGCTGCTATGGAAACGAGAAATAGCGAATTTCAAAGAAGGGAGCTTCTCCTCTGATTCCCTTTCTCTCGCCGACCTGATCCAAAACCAGCCTTGAATAATGAGCCAATACTTGAAATAGTTAAACCTCGTAACCATAGTCCCTGCCACTATTCCAGACGAATGGAAATTGGAGTTCTTTGCATAGACAAACTATACCCGACTCACCCCTACATCTAAGCATACACATCAATTATTTTTTCTTCAAAATTTTCACTTTGAAAGCTTGTTTGTTTGTAATGCATTAATCACTGTTTCGGGTTTGTACAGTTATGTGTTTGCATTTCTTGTGCTCTGACTCCTCTTCACCTGTGAAATTTATCATTCCAGTCAAATCACGTTGTTTTTAGGATATAGAGGAGTCTCTCTCACGCGTGTTCGTATTTCTTTTAACCTTTTCTTTAGGGCTGGTACAACATGTGGACCACATCTGCTGGTTCAACATGATAAACCGTAAATAAAGAGTTAATGTGGCAATGGATCAACCACATAAATATGAAATACAAATTTGCTTCTTTTGTTTTTAGTTTTTCTACCATAATAAGTTTTAAACACTCTTTTAAAATCGAAATTAAAATTGGAAGTAGGTTTCCAAACTTTTCATCACAAACGTGTTTTTGAATTTTTCCATCACGAGAAGAAAAGAAAAAAAAACCTTCCTATTTTTCAAACAACTTATATATTTCAGGCAAAAAAACATTTTTCAATTGAAGACAAGTTTTTTTTTCAGAATGGCGTTGAGTTTATTTTAGTAAATTACTGAAAATGTGATGTCAAAACAGTTGTTTTGCATCATCTTGAAAACTATTATTTTAGAATTGGGTCAAAAGTAGCCGATGTCCAAATCAAAATAAAAATTCATTATATTATCCTATATCAAGTGACAAAATATAAGATGAAATAAAACTAAACTATTTTATTTGCGTTTGTCAAATAATAGCAGGAGTGCAGAAAATTCTCAGAGCCTAGTAGTATCTAAAAACACAGTTTTTTTTTTTTTTTTTTTTGTTACATTTACTTTTTTAATTTATTTTTAGAAAGAGAAACTTGTTTTTTGGTAAAAATGTTTTAAAAATAATTCTGTAAGAATAAAATTTATTCGATTTTCGCAATTCTCGAATAAACTGGCAGGTAGGTAGGCAGGTACTTTATTTATGTCGCACTAGAGCTCCACAATTTGCTATTGGCGACGTTCTGCGAAACATCCCTGAAGTTGAACCGAAGAAATGCCATCGCAATTTTGATCCTCTGCAGAGGGGATGGCACCCCTGCTTTGGTTTCTCGACGACCTATACGTGAAGTTGAGCACTTTACTGTAAAACAGCTTAACTAGGATCAGCCAGTGATGCTTGACTTCGGTGCTCTACCAACACCTCCTAAAAGTAGAAAGGCCTCAGCACGGATCAATTAAGTAGTCCGATGTGACGAAGTTAACTACGCAGTAGACGAAAAATAAGAAAGATGTCATTACGTTAGGGGTACTAAGCTGCGCAGTTGTTGAAAATACAAAATATGTCATTACGTTTGGACTACTAAGGGATATGTATGGTAACCCGTGCT